CTTAATTATTATGAAAATACCAGAGATGGCTTGAATAACACAGATAAACTAGATTGTCGCAGTCGAGTGTTTATTGTCTTTGTTTTATCATTCAAAACGTTCATATGTTCTGTTTACTTACAGCTATAATAGCAATGCCTTTGTCCATATAAGGGATTTCCTGGAGGGTCATGAGTTCCGCTACTTCTGTGACTGGATATGTGGATTTTCTGTGCGAGGGTGCATCCAGTATGAATGAAACAGACATCATGTGTTTATAGTGCTAACGGCCAATCCATAATTTTTTGGGAATATTTATTTCTTTATTTTTTAATAAGTATCGATTTGGCACCGGTATCGAAAAAAAAAAAAGATACCCAACCCTACTTCTCAGCTCTTTGGTCATTAAGGGACAATAGCTTTATCTTCTTTAACTTATAAATGTAGATGAACATGCGTTGATGTACCCATCAGTCTGACAGAACAAGTTTTATATCAAAAGCACAAAGAAAGCACTGAGAATCCTCATGGTATGACCTCTTTAGATATTCTCACTAATTCAGAAAGCTACTAACAAGTGCTTGTTACACTCAACTCCATAAAAAAAACTGTTACTATCAACACTGTATAAATTTTGTGGATCTTCCTAAACAAGAAGTTAAAAAAAAAAAAAAAAGGCAAAATAATAATAAATTAGTCTGCCTGGGTCTGCTCAACAAGTTCACCTCAACCACAAAGACATACAATAGCACTAAAACAATGACTAATTACATTAAATGACTAAACAGTCTCAAGACCCTGCACACAGAAGAGCTGATTGACACTCACTTGCCAGCCCTTGTCTGCCGTCCTGTAATATGGATAATTCTTAGTAATGTGGGTATATATTCCATTCAGTGTTAGTTGTTTGTCTGGTGCCATTGTGATGGCCTGAACAATAAGCTGTGCATACGAGTAAGGAGGCTTGGAGTCATCCTGTTAAAGACAAGAAAGAGAGCATTGGACAGGTTACTGCATTTCAGATTTGACCAATCTGTTTCAGAAATGTCCACAGGAACAGTGATAAACAAGTAGGGCTGCACGATAAATCGCATGTGATATTTAACGTGCATCTTGTCAGTAAAGCCGTTCTGTAATCAGCGGTAAATCTCTATCACGTGCGGGCTTTCACATGGAGCAGCATTAACTACACAGAGCCGTTGTTCACCGACAACCTGCGCAAAACATGCGCAAAATATGATCGTGGTTTTGTGCAGCTTGTCAGTGAACAACGGCTCTGTGTAGTAAATGCTTCTCCATGTGAAAGCCTGCACGTGATGGAGATTTACCGCTGATTACAGAACCGGCTTTACTGACAAGATGCGCATTAAATATCGCATGCGATTTATCGTGCAGCCCTATAAACAAGACATCATTATTCTACATGGCAGCATGCATTTTTAAAACATCTCGTACTTTTGGACTGTCTTCTCCAGATGCTTCCTTGTCATTTTCAGATTGGGAGTTTTCATTGATGAGATCAGCTGTGAGACCCCGACCCATTTTATAACTGGAGAGTCCCGCACCTCGAGGACTTGACGGACAGGAGTTGGCAGCGCTGAAGAAAAATTACAAAAAATAAAAGCATAATTAAATCGGAGATTTAATAGACTTCCTAATGACACTTATAGGTGCCCTCTAGAAGCCTGCGTTCTGTAAGTGAACGGCGCATTACTGTGCCATCCCAAAGAGGCACACAATCACTTTCACAGACTTTTACATTAACGGTTTCCTCCTGGTGGAATGCTCTGCCCAACTCAATCCAAGCAGCTGAGTCCTTAGCCATCTTCACGAAAAGGCTAAAAACACATCTCTTCCATCTTTTTTTGACTCTCTAACTCTAGCACTATCTATTTTAATACTTGCACTCTCTATTCGTTTTCTTTTTTTAAAAAAAACAAACAAACAAAAAAAAAGGAGCCCTCTAACACTAGCTTTCTCTATTCTATCTACTTGTTTTCTTTTTATTTCTTAGTTGCTACATGTACTGCATTAGGTTAACCGAGACTTGTCACAGCACTTGCTTATTAAAGCTCTTTCGTTGGTTTTGATTGCTTCTGTTGTCCGCATTTGTAAGTCGCTTTGGATAAAAGCGTCTGCTAAATGACTAAATGCAAATGTAAGTATAAGGCCTTTGGAATAAAGGTCTGTATGAGATGATGAGACAAGAAGTTGAAGCAGATGCGCTTACCTGATTGTACCTGTTGGAGACGGGAGGGGACTCATCAGGTGGGCGATGTTGTCTGGAATGTTGATGGTCAGCGGCGAGATCTGGGGTTGGACCGCTTTCACAGGAGACTCTGGCGCGTTCCTGCGGTCTCTCTTGTCGCTGGACAAGGCAGTGAATGTAATTTTGATATTTGTGCTGGGAAATCGGAAAGTGCACCTACAAAATAGGGAACAGAGTTGGAATTTCAACCACTTACGCATTGATGGTGTAGCATATTAAAAATACAGCAGACATGCTGATACACAAATCAGCCAGCAACAGAATACAAAAGTAGAGCCGGTTTATATATATGGACACCAGCTTGACCCGATTACACAACAGACACATTTTACCATAAGAAATATATTTGAACCTCTAACCACCATTCAACACAATAACCCTGCGGTGCGTTCACATTTCACACCATACATAAAGCATGTAAAAAAGTGCTCAGCTGTGAACTAAGTGGAATTAATAACTATGATTTGAAGTGAAGCTCATCAGATACAGACGCACCCCTCTGCAACAATAAAACACAATGTCATAACTTGCCATCCATCATACATATAAAAATGGAATCACTATAAATGTAAAAAACTGTAAATGAATGCACACAATGCAGTTTTTTAATCACGCACGCAACGCCACTGAATGCAAGGTCAAATACTGCGTTAAAACGTGTGACTACAATAGACAAAAACTATCATTAATTAGAGTGCATAAAACATGAATTATATTAACCAGGCTATTGTTTCGGATCACCATTTCCGATTCTTTCATTTAATTAGTGCCCCAAGCATACGTCATATTTTATTAACTTGCAAGATTTGGGTCAGCTGAGGGCATCAAGTACTGAATGAACCCAACACACACTGACCAGAGGATTTTTATCATATTGGCAATAATAACAGTACTGCGGTCGTTCGTTATGCTGGAATCTTATAGGAAAGATGCCATTAATATCCTTTAGGGTCGGCTCCTAAAGATAACGACAAAAGCAAAAGTAACCCTCGAGCGTTGTGACTAGTGTTGTGTAAACAGACTGAGGGGAATGGTTAGCTGTTGTGCTAATCGAAGGCTGCAGCGCGAGACGTGCGTTAGTGGCGGTTGTCATAATCAACACGTGCTGCTCGCGAAACAAAACAAATACCGCGAGCGATCGTCGCAAACGCCTTCACGCGGCTGGCGCTGATCTAATTCCTACCGGCAGTCGTTAGCTTACATGCGGGGAAGCTGGAGAGGAGGAGCCCCTCGTCTCTGAAACACCCCGTCCACGAACACCCCGTTTTTGCCGAGGCATCGAAGGTAGAAATCTCCGCTTCCCGTTCCAGCCTCGCCGGCGGAGAAAATCTCGAGGTGCCTCCGTGAAATAAAGCTCGAATGGCCCATGCTCACGTCCACGGAGCCTTGTGACGAATTCCGACCGATGGTGACCGAGCGCTTCTTCATCAGATACTCGAATTCTCGGCCCTCGAGCCGGGCAACAACCGACCCCGACATCCCGCTCACCGCCATCTTTATTATTTCTCTTGGCGGAAATTTGAGACTATCTAAATGAAGCAGCAGGCGGCTGATACTCGGTCGGGAGGCCTGCTTGCAGAATTTAGTGGGGGGATCGAATCAAAGGATGAGAAATAAATACGAAGGAACGTGCCAGCCCAGGGACAACGGCTCCAACCCACAGCCGCGACAGAGAGAATGAAAAAACGATCAACTCTACCAAACAAACCCTGGAGGCGGGGCCGGGCTGATTGACAGCGGTAGCGACCAATGGCTCTGCGGCTCGGGAGGACAAAAATGGAATCCACCAATCAGCAGTGAGAGGAACACGCGTGTAGCGCTGAGGGTTGGTTGCGCTGTGTGCCGGCTGACACGCAAGTTCTAAGAGGCGGATTGGCGATGCTACAGAGTTTGGCTAGTGATGCTGTCGGTTCATGGCATCCTACACACAGAATAACACACTTAGACTACAATGGTGGTCGTAGATTTTATGGCGATATAATAATCCACTCATCTCCACAGGACTTCGGTTTTCTTGGCAATAATCGTGTTTCGTAATTAACGTTACGCTTATAGGAGCCCAGCTTGGAAACTGCTCCATTACACCGTTACAGTCTACTACTCTGTATTAAAGGTGCTTTCGTAATGTTAGTATGCTGCATTGCAGATTAGAGATGAATCATATAAAATGCAAAATCTTCGGATCATTTCAAGATTTTCTTTATACCATACACTTGTGAACAACAAATCAACTTAAAAGCAGAATCTACTTTGTAAACTTTGCCATGTTTATCACGTTACACGACGATAATACACACACACACTGGAAAAAAGCACATAAATTAATACTAAAATTACTTCCACACACCTTTCCACCAATAGAATCCTCTCTAACACACAGCCATCTGTCCCATCATTAGAGGCCTAAATTGCTCTTATCATTATGAAAGAATTGCCATGCTTGATTTTACAATCATCTTTAATTTGTCATATGATACTGAACTCTGTGGCCATCATCTTACATCATCTTCATGAATTATGCGCATCACTTGCACGTTATCAATGACAAAAGCATCAAATGAGTAACAAAATAGCTTATAGATACATTTCAAAGAACGGTTATAAGAATTAAGACAAAAACATAAAAACACTATGTTCTTCAGGTGACGAGACTGACTGGGCACTTTTCTAGAATTTGAGTGCATTAGTCTTTAAAAGAGAAACATCAGGGCGTCAGTGGCTACTGCAATACTACATAAAGTGCTAAATCTACAGCTAATAAACAAAAAGATGCGGTTTAATGCATTCATCTGCAACCAGGTTTAAATGGTATGCAATTCACCTTACAATTAACCTCTTGTAAAGTAGCAATGTAGTTATTCTCAATTACCTTGTGAAGAAAACAGGATTTTAGAGTTGATCATTTTATTTTAACCCATTTAGAGTGTAAATATAGACTAAATATGATGATGCGATTCTTCATTCCTCCCCACGGCCTAATATGTTGTGTCTATCAGTCACGTAACTTGTGTGATAGTATGGTAAAACTTTTACAGAGCACTGATTATAGTAATTTGATTTTCTTAAAGCCAACAAATACGTGAAATGAGGAGCACACATTTACTCCATAAAATAGCTGTTTTGTTATACTTGTCTAAATACTATGTAGTTACATCATTTTAATCCGGTATCCTGCGTTCATACAGCAAGAAAAACGATATCTAACACCAACAAATAGTTTGCAAATACATAGTGTGAATGATGTACATGTTTACACCCCCCTCTGCTCTTAGTTACAGAGGCGCTTCCTACATTAGATTAGGTTTTGTTAGTGGACAAAGAGATTTTGCTCTCGCTACCTAGCCAAGGACATCCAAAGCTTAAAAAATCCAATGGAAGACAATTTAAAAAATGTTGTCCTTTCAAAAAAAAAAAAAGGTTTCCCTCTCGTCACGCCACAGAATGTGTTTTCTGCGGTCACAGTTTTTCAGTCATCTCTCGGTGTGTTCAAAGAAAGGTCTCTCATGTTTGAACAAAGAGAGTATTTAGAGTTTCTTTTGGTCTCTCCTCCATATGTCTGTGTCACGGTCATCTCCAAAAAGTCTGCGTTGCGAATGCCACTCGAGTCCTTTGACATCCTCAAGAAAGAAACAATCTGGTAAAGTGAAGTAGTGTCTATGCTCAGATCTTCTCGTCAGTCATTTCCAGAAACTGAGCGTAAACATCCCTTGAACACTCCCCTTTTTGGTTGAACAGAAACTTGTAGTAGCTGCCATCAGAACAAATAGCTGGAGGAGGGTTGGAGGAAAAGTTAGTCACTAAACTCCATATGTCTGTGTCACGGTCATCTCCAAAAAGTCTGCGTTGCGAATGCCACTCGAGTCCTTTGACATCCTCAAGAAAGAAACAATCTGGTAAAGTGAAGTAGTGTCTATGCTCAGATCTTCTCGTCAGTCATTTCCAGAAACTGAGCGTAAACATCCCTTGAACACTCCCCTTTTTGGTTAAACAGAAACTTGTAGTAGCTGCCATCAGAACAAATAGCTGGAGGAGGGTTGGAGGAAAAGTTAGTCACTAAAAAGCTGAGAATGAACAGTTCTGCGAGTCATATCAGTAAATGACTGATTATTCACAGCACATGCATGTTACAGGCCTATGAATACAGTATTTTTTTAAATATGAGCTCATGTTTAAAGTGTGCATTTAATACGCTTCACTCTACCTAGAACAGCATTGGGTTCTGTTCCAAAGGCACAGACGCAGGGCGAACCGGATGGGACCTGGAACTTGGAGAAACTCCATTTGGAGCTGAAATACTTGGGGAGAAAACTGGCCGATGCCAAGCTGTGGCAAAAGAGGGTTTGAGGACTGTAAACAACGTTTGCAATAAAATACGCAGCATGAATGCCAGATAATAAAAAGTTGACGATTTCCACTAAAACCTTTAGTGTGCTCTAACACAAACCTGGACTGCTTGTTCCTTTTGGGATCCTCTGCAGCAAATATGTGGACTGTGCCATGGTCACTCGATACGCAGATAAGAGAGGCATCTTGGTTGAAATTGATGCTGAAATAGAAATACACTGTTATAAATACACACATATTCCCCTTTACAGTATTACAATAGGATAGCACGCATGCTGTGGATTACCAGTATATATTGGCAGTTTGCGATCCTCTTCTCAGCTCCTGAATAAGATGACCTGCTGAGGTGTCGAATATTCTGATCAGGGTCCCCTAGAGAGAAGACATTTTCTCCATTAGCCAATCGCTGACATGCAGTGCTGGAACAATCCATGTGAATCTAGTGACATGATCAAATCATATCGATTTGCTCTGCATGTCACACACATAAAACAAATGAAGACCGAAATGATGCCAAAATCAACAGTGGCACTGAACTGACTTTTTCAGATGCTGTGGCTATCCGTGTGCCCTGAAGGTTGAGAGCGATGCAGCACAGAGCTCCTTCATGTGCAGGAATATCCACAGGCGGTTTCTCTGTATTGGCCAGATCTACGATCTGAACGTGTCCGGAGTGAGTGGCTGGAAACGCTAGCAATGAATTGTTGCTGTTTGGGCACAAGACACACAAACCTGCAAAGACAATCAGAGTTTTATATGTGTCCTGTAAAGATGAACAGGTATTAATGCTTGTGGTTTAGTATAAGACCACGGATGAATTGCTAGAACACAACTTACCTTTAGGGTTATAGCATGTTTCAAAGACATGCAGCTGATGAGGATTATGAGTAAATGTGAACACTTTAATCATGGAGTCCAGGACCACCACAATTCTGAAACACAAAACAAACCAGACGTTTATAAGGAACTTAAATCTAATCTTTATTGTTTTCCTAATAAATCCACAAACTAAGGACCAGCGTTATCAGAAGGTTCCAACTCTGATGGAGGGCTGCTTTCGTACGGTCCGTGGTTTCTCATTTTAATGTGTTTTTGAAGCATTGCACAATCATAGACATGTCTGATGCAACGGCCGATCAGAGGTGTTTAAGTTAGTCAGACTCCACTTGTTAGTTTTCTTTTAGTGTGAGTGCTGCATGTACACCAATAGTCTCATTTTAACCAACAAAGAGTAGATATGATTTAAATAAGATTCATAATGCAGTGTGGTCATCTACATTGATTGTGAGAGTGCAGAACTCAGCATGAAGTGACTGATATCTTCAGTGATTATAAAGGCAGCTCGCTTTTTGTCAGTAATACATTCACAACTTGAATAAAAGTCATGAAACTGACAGTAAAATCCACCATAGTGATAACGTCTGCTTGAGTAGCTTTAATAAGCATCTACATTTAGATCCTAAAATAACTCTGTCCTATTAATTGTAAAGTGTTTTTGTTATTAATTTTATTACCAACTTGCCACTTTTTAAACACGATGTTTACTCATTTGACGTATTTTTACTTATTCTATTATATAAATATGTTCCAAGAGTTTTTGTTACTGCATTGAAATTGGTGCAGTACCATGAAATTTTACTAGTATATTACTGGTAGTCTACGGACTACAATATTTGTCAGTCAATGTCAAAGAGTCATTTCTGCATTTGTGATATTGTAACTTTGAATGTTCTCTTGCAACTTTAAAGACAAAATGATTCCAGCTTTTCAATATCAATGCATGAAAATAATTTCCCTATAATGATCCTCAATCAGTTGTCAGACATGTACAGAGTCAAAGAAATTTTATACCAAAGAATTTTAATGAAGAATACAACTACAAGAACATATGAGATCAATACCTGTCACGGCGAAGCTTAACAGCTTTGACCTCTGTGGAAAACTCAATCTCTATCACAGTCTTTTTCTTCAGGTCATCCCAAATCATCACTAACACAAAGGCAGGAAAGATTTACTTGCAGAAATAATTAATGCAAAATCCAGTAGAACACGCATTAAAAAAGGCGAATGATGGCTTTATGGCAACAACTGCCATCTGAAACAGAAATATACCTTTATTAGGAGGGTACTTTGGTTTTTTTCCGCCTCCCACAAGCGCAAGATAATTGCATCGAAAAAGCATCTCCACGTGACCAACTCCGCCTTCAAGAAACTCTGAGAGCAAAGAGAATTAATGAGAGTCAACAGCTACCACAATAAAGCAGGGATACTGTCGCTGACAAAGATCCCATAAACTGTGAATGGTGAATGAATAACTGTTGTTAAATGTTTATCCTTATGTTTCGAAAAGAGATGGTGACAATGACAGTCGTGGACTAGGTGTATGTGTCGTCTGTCTGTAACAGCTCTGGAAAAATTATTTCTGAGTTATCATGCATTTATACTAAACTTCTGCGTGACAAAAGACAAACAGATGTCTTCATCTGTTGTGTGCATTTGCATTAATAAGGCAAGTTTTAAAAATCACAAGCAAAATTTTGCTTATTGCTATTGTTTTAATATTCGTTAACCCCTGCTATAAATGTCTTATCCAAACATCTGTCAGTGTGTGTTTACTGAATATCTGCAGCATTTAACATGTCAAACATTCTCACCTTGTTTTTCCTTTTCTTTGAGAGGATCTGTGTTATACACCCTGAATCCATTTTCCATTCCACACGCAAAACATCCTGATGGGGGGAAAAAAAGACATTTTAAGGGAAATACTGGGATTTCCTGCAACTCTACAGTTTCACCTTTAAGAGGACCATTCTAGAGATGGACTAAACAGACACATGAAGGTGTCAGAATCAGAACCACAATCCTGTATGTCTACATGTGCTTATGACAACAATTTACGAGCATCTGCTTGGAAAGCAACTAGTGATTTGCTCCCAAGGATGTACAGCAAATGTATTCAGGCACATATACAGCTCTGGAAAAAAATAAGAGACCACCAGACATTTCTTTCTTAAATCAGCATCTATACATATGGCAGACATTCCATTCCAGTGTCTGTTGAATCCCAACACAGGTACACCTAATTCTGCTTAATGAAGTACTGGTCAGGGGATCACCTAAACCAAATCTTATTAAACGAGGAAAAATATTAAAAACACTACTGTGGCCATCACTATCATTTTGCAACAGGGCCAGTTGGATGGCAAAAACAGTGCTAGTAGTGCCTCAAAAGTAACTGGAATCAAATAGTAACCATCGACAATGCCAGGCTTCAGGTTGCTTCTATTTTTAAAATGTCAAAAACATGACCAGAATGACCTCCAACTCATTTGAATGTCACTCAACAACCGCAGGATGACATCAAGTAGCCTACAAAAGGAATGGCAAACGGCAGCTGGGGTGAAGTTCACAGTGAAGATGGTTTAAAACACGTCTCCTGGGGCAGGGCTGAATTCGTGCAAAGCTAGATAAAAAGCCCTTCATCAATGAGAAGCAAAGAAGAGCAAGTCCAAGGTTTGCAAAAGACCATAAGGACTGGATCGTAGACTAGAGGACTGGAGTAAGGTCATCTTCTCTGATGAGTCCAATTTTCAGCTTTGCCCAACACCTGGTCGTCTAATGGTTAGACAGAGACCTGGAGGCGTCTACAAGCCATCCACTGTGAAATTTGTTGGAGGATCGGAGATGATCTGGGGGTGCTTCAGCAAGGCTGGAATCAGGCACATTCATTTTTGTGAAGGGCACATGAGTGCAAGGATGTCCTGGAAGAAAACTTGCTTCCTTCTGCTCTGACAATGTTCCCCAACTCAGAGGACAATGCTCCAGGACACACAACCAGGTCAATCGAGGTGTGGATGGTGGACCATTCTCCAGACCTGAACCCCATTGAAAAACTCTGGAATGTGAACAAGAGGAAGATGGATGGTCAAGCCACCATACAGCTGAGCTGCTTGAATTATTGTGCCAGGAGTGGCATAAAGTCAACCAACAGTAATGTGACAGACTGGTGGAGAGCAACTTGTTTTCTTTGCTTTGTGAGGTGTGAAAACACTATCTTTTTTGTTATTTTGACCAGTTGTCATTTCCTGCAAATAATAAATGCTCCAAATGAAATGACAATATGTTTATTTGTAATTTGGGAGAAATTTTGGCAGTGCTTAACAGAATAAAACAACAACAAAATGTTCATTTTACTCAAATGCATACCTATAAATAGTAAAACCAGAGAAACTGATAATTTTGCAGTGGTCTCTTAAAATTTCCAGAGCTGTATTGAGAGAGAGAGAGAGCTTCACAGGATACTGCATGTCAGTACTCTGTTGTGATGACAAAAGAGCAGCACTGTTATTCACTTATTGATGGGTCTTCATGACATCCGGCTATGACTCGGTGTAAATGACTCTGTGCCAGAGAGTAACCTGATTTAATACTTAGTTGAAACCCGTTACCTTCTTCATTTTCATGGGCTATGCGTCAGTAAATGCTGCTTTTAAAATACAGTTAGGCGAGCCCATATTATGGCATAGTTACTAAGTCAGCGCGTTATCACAAGGAATCGGATTTAAATAAACTTAAATTACATTGTAATACAGTGTTAATCAAGTTCATTGAAATCCAAATGCCCAGATTCATCCCCTGAAAGTCACACTATAGCAGTTGTAGAGCTAGCGCTAGCATTAGCCTGGCTAGCTTACATCAGCTGTCAATGTTTATTTGATAATATGTTGAAATGTGGTCCCTTTTAAGAACATTGCAGTTTATGTGCATATATACAGCTGTCGGTCAATTAAAATACAAACAATAAATTAAGGACACTCCTGTGACTTCATCTTTATGGCTAACCAGCTGTTCAAGTTCGTTAGCTTGCTAGGCAAAACAGTAATCTTGTTTATGAAGTGCGATATATCTTACAACTAGACGTTTGGACTTGCAACATCTAAATCCAAAAACGGATGCGTTTTTGATGATGTCTAAGATAAATAACAGTTCACTGGCCTCTGTGATTCTTAAAGGTAACGGTAAGAGTGATGTTAGCTTGCTTTAGCTAATAGTAAAAATCTTACCGTGATCCTGGTTAAATCCAGCATAAAGTAATCCATTACCGTGGGGATTTGATGGTAATAAATTCATAGTGCTTGGCGTTATTTGGCTAATCTAAATGAAAAGACTGTAAGCCTAACTAAAGGACGGCATTCCTCTAAGAAGGCTAGAGCTGGCAGGCTAATGCTAGGTACACGGGGTTTAATATCATGACTGTCTCTCCAGCCAGGAAATAAAGTTGGCAGAGCGCCTGTTGTTCCTCCTTTCTCCGGTTTAAGCGCAGGCTGCGACGTGCGACCGTGGATCGTACAGTAATCTCACTGCAGGAATCCCAGTGTTCACGCGTTATGTGGTCTGTTTATTTCTAGAAATCAGATATTGCAAAAACCTAGAACTTACTGCGGTCTACACATGACTAACATGGACTTAACTTATCGATGTTTTTAAGTACGCATTTTCTGTGCAGCAATAAAAACGTGGTTTTGCTAAAGGTTTATTCAAACAGGGGCGTAAAAGTAAAGAGCTGTATTGAGAGAGAGAGAGAGCTTCAGGATACTGCATGTCAGTACTCTGTTGTGATGACAAAAGAGCAGCACTGTTATTCACTTATTGATGGGTCTTCATGACATCCGGCTATGACTCGGTGTAAATGACTCTGTGCCAGAAACCTGATTTAGAGAGAGAGAGAGAGCTTCAGGATACTGCATGTCAGTACTCTGTTGTGATGACAAAAGAGCAGCACTGTTATTCACTTATTGATGGGTCTTCATGACATCCGGCTATGACTCGGTGTAAATGACTCTGTGCCAGAGAGTAACCTGATTTAATACTTAGTTGAAACCCGTTACCTTCTTCATTTTCATGGGCTATGCGTCAGTAAATGCTGCTTTTAAAATACAGTTAGGCGAGCCCATATTATGGCATAGTTACTAAGTCAGCGCGTTATCACAAGGAATCGGATTTAAATAAACTTAAATTACATTGTAATACAGTGTTAATCAAGTTCATTGAAATCCAAATGCCCAGATTCATCCCCTGAAAGTCACACTATAGCAGTTGTAGAGCTAGCGCTAGCATTAGCCTGGCTAGCTTACATCAGCTGTCAATGTTTATTTGATAATATGTTGAAATGTGGTCCCTTTTAAGAACATTGCAGTTTATGTGCATATATACAGCTGTCGGTCAATTAAAATACAAACAATAAATTAAGGACACTCCTGTGACTTCATCTTTATGGCTAACCAGCTGTTCAAGTTCGTTAGCTTGCTAGGCAAAACAGTAATCTTGTTTATGAAGTGCGATATATCTTACAACTAGACGTTTGGACTTGCAACATCTAAATCCAAAAACGGATGCGTTTTTGATGATGTCTAAGATAAATAACAGTTCACTGGCCTCTGTGATTCTTAAAGGTAACGGTAAGAGTGATGTTAGCTTGCTTTAGCTAATAGTAAAAATCTTACCGTGATCCTGGTTAAATCCAGCATAAAGTAATCCATTACCGTGGGGATTTGATGGTAATAAATTCATAGTGCTTGGCGTTATTTGGCTAATCTAAATGAAAAGACTGTAAGCCTAACTAAAGGACGGCATTCCTCTAAGAAGGCTAGAGCTGGCAGGCTAATGCTAGGTACACGGGGTTTAATATCATGACTGTCTCTCCAGCCAGGAAATAAAGTTGGCAGAGCGCCTGTTGTTCCTCCTTTCTCCGGTTTAAGCGCAGGCTGCGACGTGCGACCGTGGATCGTACAGTAATCTCACTGCAGGAATCCCAGTGTTCACGCGTTATGTGGTCTGTTTATTTCTAGAAATCAGATATTGCAAAAACCTAGAACTTACTGCGGTCTACACATGACTAACATGGACTTAACTTATCGATGTTTTTAAGTACGCATTTTCTGTGCAGCAATAAAAACGTGGTTTTGCTAAAGGTTTATTCAAACAGGGGCGTAAAAGGTATTGCAGGCGATATTAAAAATTCTACCTAAAATTGCACATTTGAAGCGTCTCACGTGAATTACTGGTTAAGAGTGAAACGTTTTCAGTGTTTTGTTGTCGCTGCCCCAGTGGCCTAATGGATAAGGCACTAGCCTCCTAAGCCAGGGATTGTGGGTTCGAGTCCCATCTGGGGTGACTGCTTTTCTCTTTTTGCTTTTGAATTAAATTATAATTGACCGTTCGCAAAGAGCTTGATTGACAGGCGATCTGACCAATCAGAACGCGGATATTATGTGCCGCCGCTGCTATCCGACATCTTGAGATGATCCTCACTGCAGAACACAAGATCCAGGGGGCGTGGTTGGATCCAGATTGAGGCAGTAATTAAAGCAAAAGGAGCCTTATGGTGCGTTCAAGTCATGTCGGATAGATCGTATTTACGAGTTGAACGCACATGAACGCCACCACAAAGTCGTTATTACGAGTGGGAAACTCGAAATTTTCTTTAAGCCCTGAGTTTCCGAGTTGGGGGCGTGTCAGTGAGAAAACGTGTCGGATGCAATGGATGCATCCAAAGACTAGATATGCAGCATCTGTATTGATGGTAAATTTGTTGAAATTAATCAAATGAATGTAATGTAAATATACAAAATATTATATTATTGTATAATTACCAAAGAACGTATAATGATTCAGTTTACATCACCCTCATAAATTGAATAAAAACAGAAAAAAGCAAAAACACAATGACGCACATTCTTTATTCATCATTTTGTAGATGTAAAGTTTAAAAAATCGTTGAATTTTATGGGAAAAAAGTAAAATCGCCATATTGCTCCGAGCAAAGTGACTTGAACGCACCTGACGTCGTTATTACGACTTGTCAACTCGTAAGTACGAACGTCCCAGGAGGACTTGAACGCAGCATACGTTAAAAAGCTGCATGTATTTCGGATCAACTGATCGAAATGAGCGTGTGAAGGAGACACTGCTGATTTTATATAAGATATTTTCAGAAGTGTATACAGGTGGTTCCATGGTGTAATGGTTAGCACTCTGGACTCTGAATCCAGCGATCCGAGTTCAAATCTCGGTGGAACCTTCCCTTATTGTTTACTCGTGTTGCATAAAGAAAATAATTTACAATGCAATAACTTCATTGTGTCTTAATAAGCACTTTACACACACTTTTTAATGTTCATATTAAGTAAGCGCGCATCTGACCCGGATGTTTTCGTTTCACGCGCATGTTCTTCATTTTCAACATGGCGGTGACCGTGGTTACAAGTTTATGTTTCTTACAGCTGCATAAACTGTCATGCTCGAGGAATATATGCCGTAATTTAGTAACTGTAGGCCTATTCGGTAGTAACAAAACGCGACCGAACCGCTTAACAGGCAATAGTTATTCCCACATTAAACAGGCATCGCATTTTACACAGGTGATCGATCATGTTTTGATTTTCTCCATAATATAAAAACATAATATGTGTATGTTCCATGATTCTCCTTGACGTGCAACATAGCACTGCCTAAACATAATGTAATTTTTTTTTATCTCAGGACGATCGGCTCTCGCGCATCCCGGTCGGTAAGAAGTTCAGGATTCATATTCAGCATATCTGTAATAAACCGACTCCAATCCTCAGCTCATGAAACTTTCGTCTCTTCTAGATAAACTGAAGATAACATACAGTCGTAGCAGCGGACCCGGCGGTCAACATGTCAATAAGGGTAAACTGCTTTATAGACTAGATATTGCTGGAGGTTTTCTGCATCAGCTGCTATATGGCAAGCCGTGTTCACATTTAATCTTTAAGCCGTACTAGTATCTATTTTCATGCTACTAGTACTTATTTTTTTAGATACTAGTATCTTAAGTAGGGTTGGGTACCGTTCACATTTTAACCGGTACTTTTTTCGGTACTTTACTCTCTGTGTAATTACAAAAACATTTATTTCAGTTAAAAAATAAGTCCAAAAGTCTCAATTTCAACATTTTGAACAATAGGGCCCTACAACAATAGCCCCCCCCCCCTTCA